TTGCTCTCGTCGAGCTCTCGAAGCAGAACTGAGGAGCTTGTGTCGAACCTTTCAATTACGAGAACATTGAAGTCGGCTTGAAGATTTGATTTCCACACAGGCTCGAGGACCTCGGCGTCGCGGGATCCGACGTCGCCGACGTGCTCGGCGCGTCCCACGCGGCCGCGCTCGCCGACGCCGCCGCCGACGATGCCAAGGGAGACGTGGCGACGGCGGATCAGGCCTTCGCGGCGACGATGGAGGCCGCGCAGTTGACGGCGGCCGCGCGGGCGGCCGGCGACGACGAGGGAGACCTATCGCCCGACGTGCTCGAGGCGCTCCGCAAGAAACACGAGGCGGAGAAGGCGGCCCTCGACAAGTCTTTGGAGGCAGAGAAAAAGCGGCGCGACGCGCGGCTGGCGGAGCGGCGCGCGCGGCGCAAGCACGCCAAGGAGTCCGGCGCGGCCGTCCAAGCTCCAGAAGACGAGGACGACGCGGCCCAAGCCCAAATAGAAGAGGACGACAAGCGCGCGGCCCTCGAGGCGAAGCAGAAGCTCGAGGCCGACAAGACCGAGGCGCTGTTCGCGAAGATCGCCAAGCTCGAGGAGGCCCACGCGGAGCAGACGCGGCTTCTCGAGGAGGCGGCCGCGCGCGAGAAGGCAGCGAACAGCGACAGGAAAAGGGTGATTCAACGTCGCTTCAACGTGAGTGTTCCACGCGCGCGCGTACCAGGAAAAGCATCCACGCTTCGAGAGCGCTCCGAGAGATGATCGCTCGTCCAAAAATCAGCCGAAACGAGTGAGAAACGGCCGAGATAGGAGCCTTTGAAGTTGGGAATTTCGCACCCTTTTGCTCCCAGGCGTCGAAGCGCGAGGCCATCCTCGCGAAATTCCAGGGCGCGGCGCGCGCGGAGGGCCTCAAGCAGATCGAGGCTTTGGAGGCCGCGCCGCCCGCCGAGGAGCTGTCCCGGGCCCACGAGGACCACGCCGCGGCCGTCGCCGCGGTCCTCGGCGAGGAGCGCGTCGACCGGCTGAGCGGCGCCGCCGCGGACGAACAACTTGGCAAAATCATCGCCGACGAGGACGAGCGCCGACAAATCATGGAGGCCGACCTCAAGGCGAAGCGCGCCCTCGAGCGCAATAAGCTCAAGGAGCGGCTCAAGGCGCGGCGCGCCAAGGCGCGCGCCGCGGGCGAGGGCGTCTCGGACCACGGCGAGGACGACGACGACGACGCGCTGACGCCGGAGGAGACGAGGGAGGAGGCCGAGGCCCTCGCTGCTTTGGATGCCGAACTCGACGGCGCCGAGGAGACCGCGCGGAAGCAACGAGAGAAGACCGCGAAAGCGACGGTCGCCGCGGCCGAAAAAGCGCGCCAAGAGGCCGCGGAGCTCTCGGCCGAAGACGCAGAAAGAGAAGCGGCGCGCAAGGCCAGGGCCGAGGCCGACGAGCTCGCCGCGCGGTCCAAGCTCGACGCCCTCAAGGCGTCCCACGAGGGCGAGGAGGCCGCCGCGGCCGACGCGCTCCGAAGCCGCCGGTCGTCGATGACAGGGCAGGACAAAAGAGCGAAATTCCCAACTTCAAAGGCTCATATCTCGGCCGTTTTCCACTCGTTTCTGCTGATTTTTGGACGAGCGATCATCTATTGGAACGGTCTCGAAGCGTAGATGCTTTTTTTTGGAACGCGCGCGCGTGGAACACTCACGTTGAAGCGACATTGAATCACCCTTGTCCTGCCCAGGTCGATGAACAAGAAGCTCCAGGAGCGCCTCGCGAAGCGCAAGGCCGAGCTGGAGAAGGCCTCGGCGAGCGAGGAGGACGTCGCGAAGAAGCTCGCGGAAGAACAGCGCCTCGCCGAGGTCGCGGACCGCGAGGCCCTCGAGAAGCAGGAGCGCGACGCGGACGACGCGCTCCGCAAAAGGCGTCAGGCGCACGAGCGCGACATGGCCGCGGCCCAGGCGGACCTCGCGCGGGCCCAGGAGGAGGCGGCCATCGCGGCGACGCGCGAGGCCGCCGTCCAGGCCAAGAAGCTCGCGGAGCAGCGCGCGTCGGCGTCGCTCGCGCTCGTCCAGGAGGAGGCCGCGGCCGAGCGGCGCCGCGCGGAAAAAGAAGCCGAGGACGCTTTAAAAGCGAAGCAGCTGCAGGCACTCCGGGAAGAAGCCGAGAGCGACGCCGCCAAGGCCGCCCACACGCTCGCGACGCAGCGCACGGAGCAGCAGTCGAAGCTCCAGAAGCGCCTGCAAGCGAAGAAGCGCCGCAAGAACGTCGCCGCCGCCGACAAGGAAGAAAAGGACAAGCTCGCGGCCGCGGCCCACGCGCAGCGCGCCGAGGAGGAGCGCAAGGCCCTCAAGGAGAAACAAGAAAAGCAGGCGGCCAAGCTCAAGCAGCAGATGGACGCCGAGGAGGCCCAGGCGCCCTGGGCCAAGACCCTACAGTTCCGTTTGGAGGCCGCGGGCTACTCCGCGGACATGCCCCTGGGCGAGGTCGTGCGCGTGCTGCGCGGCGCGTTAGACGAGGGCGTCGTGCCCGAGGCCGACGAGGGCGCCGCCGTCGAGTTCGTGCTCCAGAAGCGCCACGCGGCCGAGAGCGCCGCGCTCCTCACGAAGCAGTACGCGGAGCGGTCGAAGTTGCTGGCGTCCGCGTTAAACGATCTGCTGGATGAGAAGGCGCAGAAGCGATCCGCCATCATGGCCGAGCACGTCGGCGAGCCCGAGCGCGCCGCCCGCTTCGAGGAGCTCGACGCGGAGTTCATCACGAAGCAGGCGGCGATGCAGGCGGACGTTGCCAACTCCGTCGAGGACCACCACCTCGCCGCCGAGGCCCAGCTGCGCCGGCGCCACATGACCGAGGTCATCGAGACCATGCGGTTCCTGGAGTCGCTCAACCGGCCCATGAACCCCGGCGCCGTCGACGAGCAGTTCGACGAGGCCGCGCACGAAGCGGAGCTCAAGAAGATGCAGGACGACATGGAGGCGGAGAAGGCCGCCCAGCTCAAGAAGATCGAGGACGAGCGCGCCGCCGCCGAGAAGCGCCTCGCCGACGACCACGCGACGAAGATGAAGGAGCTCGAGGCGGAGCAGGCCGCGGAGGCGGAGCGCGCGCGCGACGACGCCGCGAAGAAGCTCGCGGAAGAGAAGGAGCGCCACGCCAAGAAGCTCGCGGAGGCGTCCCAGACCGCTTCCGAAGAAGAAAAGCGGCGCCTCATGGAGGAGGCGACGAAGGAGCACGACCGCGCGGAGGCGGAGATCGTCGCGCAGCGGAAGGAGGCGCACGCGGGTTTGAAGTCGCGCCTCGCGGCCCGCAAGAAGAAGCGCCAGGCCCAGCTCGGCGCCCAGGTCGCCCAGCAGAACGCGGAGGCGAGCCGCCTCCAGCGCCAGGTGTCCCAGGAGATGACGCTCAAGGCCGAGCTCAAGGGCGCGGAGGCCGCCGTCAAAAGGTCCCAAGGCGACATGTCGCCGCGGATCAAGAAGAAGTGGGATTTGGCGCTGCGGTCGTCCATGAGCGGCAAGGCGGGCTTCGAGGCCGCCGCGGCGGCGGCGGCGCGCGCGGCGGCGCCGGCGAGCCCCGGCCCGTCGCTCGCGGACTCGGCCGCGATGGTCGCGGTCAAGTCGAAGCTCGAGAACATCGAGCAGCTCGTGGGCAAGCGCGACGCGTTCACGTCCAAGCTCGACCACATCGAGACGTTGGTGTCCCAGCTCGCGACGGCCCAGGCCGAGCTCGCCGCGCGGCCACCGGCCGCGGGCGCGGCGCCGGCTCCCGCGCAACCGCCGACGTACCAGGACGCCGAGGACCCGCGGCCGCCAGGGCAGCAAAATGGTGATTCAACGTCGCTTCAACGTGAGTGTTCCGCGCGCGCGCGTTTCGGAAACAGCACCCACGCTTCGAGGCCGTTCCGAGAGATGATCGCTCGTCCAAAAATCAGCCGAAACGAGCGAAAAACGACCGAGATAGGAGCTTTGAAGTTGGGAATTTCGCACCCTTTTGCTGCCCAGGCGGCCCCAGCCCGCGCTCGTCGCCGTCGACGCGGCGGACCTGAGCGCGGGCAAGCGCAAGCGCTTCGAGTTCGGCGAGAAGCTCCTGGCCATGCTCGGCGTCGGCGACTCGCTGTCCCTGAAGGTCGCGGAGAGCCTGCCGCCGAACGGTCTCCGGGGCAACGCGTTCCGCAACTCCTACGCCTACGACCCGGAGCGCGCCGAGCTCCACCTCCACCTCAAGCGCCTCGGCACCTTTGGGGACGTGAGCCTCGTGCTCCTCCACGCCGTGTCCCACATCAAGGCCAACGCGGCGGACCTGGGAGACGACAGCTCCCCGGCGTTCGTCGCGGAATTCCACCGCAACTTCAAGGTCGTCACGGGCGAGCTCGCCAAGGCCGAGGCCGCGGCGGAGACCAAGGCCGCCGCGCCTTCGGCGCCCGCGGCGGCGGCCCCGGCGACGCCGCGGACCGCGGCCGCGCGCGCGGCCGCCGCACCGCCCGCGGCGCTCCCCGCGGCCGCGGCCGCGGCCGCGCCCCACTTCGCGCCCGTGGCCCTCAACGACCGCCTCGCGCAGTACGCGGCGGCGGCGAACAACGCGGACTTTGGCGCGCTCATGGAGCGCTACGCCGCGGAGGCGGACAAGCCCGAGAATACGGTGTCCAAGCTCGAGGCCGCGGAGCAGTCGAGCGAGCGCCAGCTCGAGGACGAGCGCGCGGCCGCCGCGGCCAAGGAGAAGGACGACCTCAAGCGCCGCATCGCCGAGCGCCGCGCGCGCGCCGCCGGCGGCTCGCCCGCCAAGGCCCAGGCGACCGTCGACGTCGCGCCCGCGGACCACGCCGCCGTGCCCGCGGCGCGCGCGACGCTGACCCGGGCCCAGGAGTCGAGCTACGCGCTCGACGCCGCCCACGCCCAGGCCGCGGCCAAGGAGAAGGACGACCTCAAGCGCCGCATCGCCGAGCGCCGCGCGCGCAAGGGGGCGTAAGGGGGTTTTGGTGTTGTCGTATGATATGCTTCTCCATGAGAAAACCACCCTCCATTAGACCACAGGAATTTACGCCGCCTTCTGGTCCTCGGCGATGGCCGCCGCGATGCTCCCGAAGAACGAGTCCTCGAACGCGGCCTCGGGCGCGGGCGCGCCCGCGGCGGCGACGGCGTCGCGGACCGTCGCGTCGACGAGGTCGAGCAGGCCCGGCGCGGCGCCCGTGATGGGCGTCATGACGGCCCGCACGCCCGGGTGCTTGGCCTTGGCCGCCTCGAGCAGCTCCGGCACGTCCTCCGTCGCGTGCCTTCCGGGGCTCAGGAAGAACGGGTGGCAGACGACCAGATCGCAGCCCTGGGCGACGAGCGCGTCGAAGGCCTCCTCGATGCTCGGGCTCGCCAGCTCCATGTGCGCCGGCGCGACGACCCAGTCCGGCTTCGCGTGCGACTCGGCGTAGGCCGCGCAGAGCGTTATCAATCGCTCGTTCGCGGCCTCGCGCTTCGACCCGTGGTCGACGACCATGACGCCGACGCGCGCCGTCGACGCCTCGTAGGCCATGGGCGACACGCGCGGGTCGATGTCGAAGTCCGCCGCGGGCGGCTCCGAGGCCGCGAAGGGCTCGCCGTCGAGGCCCAGGCCGTCGGCGAGGTCCATGAGGCGCGCCATGGGGTTCGTGAGGTCGTCGCCGCCGCCGCCCGTCGGCGGCTCGAGCGCGCGCGCGACGGCGCGCAGGCGCGGCGCGCGGCGCGGCGCGTAGCCCGCCGCGGGTGTCACCACGAGGAGGAGAGCGAGAGGCACCATCGCGCCACAGAAAGTGCTCGGCACAGATCGTGCACTGATTGCACAGCCTGCGCCTCGGGCACGTCGACACCGCGCAGTGCGTCACAAGGCCCGGCCGGGCTTACAAACGGGCCGGGGAAGGTGGGCGGTCAGGAGGACTTGACGCGCGCGAGGATCTCGCAGAGCGTGCGCACGTGGTGCGGGTCGTCCGCGGCCTGGATCGCGTCGGAGAGCGCCGCGGCGAGGGCGCCGGGGTCGCCGGCCTCGAGGAGCTTCGGCGCCTTCTTCGGCGGCGGCTTCTTCGCGCCGCCGTTCGCGCCGACCTTGGCCCGGCGGACGTCGCGGACGACGACGCGGCGCGCGGCCCCGCCGGACGTCGGCGGCGGCGGCATGAGCGCGGGCCGCGCCGGCGGCGTGCGCGCCGCCGTCGGCGCGCGCCGCGGCGGCGGCGGCGGCGTCTTCGCGCGCGGCGGCACGCCCGCCGCGCCGGGCCGCACCCCCAGCGACGCGACGCGCGGCACGAGGGGCTGCTTCGCGGCGCGCGCGGGCCGCTTCGACGCGTCGGGCGGCGGCGGCGGCGGCGCGTCGACGAGCGCGCGCGACGCCGACGAGGAGAAGGGCGGCGCCTTCTTTTGGGGCTTCTCCGCGGACGCGGGCTTCCGTTGGGGCGGCGGCGGCGCCGCGGCGGCCGCGGCGGCGCGCGCGGCGACGCGCCGCGGCACCTTGCGCGCCCGCGGCGCCGCCGGGGACTTGGCCTGGGCCCGCGCGGCGCGCGCCAGCGCCGCGGTGTCGGCGTCGCCGCCGTTCCGCAGGCTCAGCTCGAGCGCGCTGTCGAGGCTCTCGTTGCGGAGCTCGAGCTGGACGACGCGCGCCGACGTGAGCGCCAAACGCTCCTCGAGGGCCGCGCAGAGCGCCGACTGGTCCTCGCCGTCGCCCTCCAAAGCGGCGACGCGGCGGAGCTCGCCGTCGCGCGCGTCGAGCGCGTTGTCCAGCTTCGCCGTCGCCACGCTCAGCTGGCGCGCGAGCTCGTCGCAGCGCGCCCGCAGGCCCGCGCACTCGTCGGCGAGCGCCGTGCGCTGCACGTCCGCGGCCTCGAGGCGCCGCCGGAGGTCGTCGGCCTCCCGCTCGAGCTCTCTTTCTCGAAACGCGTGCGACCGCTGCACGTCTTCCAGCTTCTGGGACGCGACCTCGCGCTCCTGGGCGCTCGACGCGCTCGAGATCTCGAACTGCAAACGGAGCTCGCTCGCTTCGACGAGCGCCGACGACCGCTCCTTCTCGAGGCGGCCGATCTTCGACTGCAAAGCTCTGAGTGCTTGGAGCGCCGCCTTGGTCGACCCCGCGGCGGCCTGAGCCGGCGACGGCGGCGGCGCGCCGTCGGCCATGGTGCTTCTGCTGCTGCGGACGCGGCTGGGCGGGTCGCACGACCTGTTCGTCCGCGCCGGCGCCAACAGTGGTCGAGCTTGATTTGCCCGCCTCGCTTCACGAAGGCTAAATTGCCACAACTTGGCCCACAAGGACTTCAACGTGAAGTTCACCATGCTGAGGGCTAAATTGCGCTAAGGGCTTCATGGTGAAGTTCACCAGGCTGAGAGGCTCGGAAAACCCACCTTTTAAGAAGGCGACGGCCCCGCGACGCGGCGCGCGCGGCGCGGCTTCGCGTCCGGCCGCCGGCGCGCCGGGTGGCGCGGCGGCCGCCGGAACGCCGTGTGGAACTTGCGCGCGCGGAGGTCGCGGTTCGTGCGCTGCCGCGCGACGGCCGACTCGACGACGTCGCCGCGCGACGCCGGGCCCTCGTCGAGGTCCGTGTCGCTGCGCACGAGGATGCGGGGCGCCGCGGGCAGGGGCCGGCGGTACCGCGGCGCGCTTGGCGGCGCGTTCGGCCGCGGCGGCGGGTGCCGGCTCGCCTCGTCGCCGTAGGTCCGCCGGTACGTCGTCCAGGACCGCTGGTCGCCGCCGCCCAGGACGGCGTTGGCCACGTTGAGCGTGCGCGCGACGGCCGTGAGGTAGCTCAGGTCGTCGGCGTCGACGCCCGCGGCGCGCGCCTCGCACAGATGCGCGTGGAGCGGCTGCAAATTTTCCGGCAGGAGGCGCGTCGTCGCCGCGGGCATGACCGCGCAGCAGTGCACGTCGGCGCTCAGCGGCTCCGGCGCCCCTGCGACGGCGGGCTTCGCCGGCGCGTGGCCGTCGCGGAAGAGGCGCGCGAGGTCCCGCGCGGACGGCGCGCGCCCCGCGTAGCGGAACGCGCCGTCGTCCGTGGCGCCCCGGACGTACATGTCGAGGGACCAGGCGAGGCCCTCGACGTAGCGCGCCGCGTCCGGCGCGGCGGGGGTCTTCCGTCGCTCCGCGCCGTCGGCGGCCCGCGTCTTCGCCCCAAAGGCCGCGTCGTGGAGCAGCGAGGCCGCCTTGGCCTTCGCGGCCTTCTTCGTCGCCGCCGCGGCGGACGCGTCCAGCACCCTGTCGTCCCCGCAGAGCTCCAGGGACGCGACGCAGGTCCAGAGCCGCGCCTCCGCCGGCGACGCGCCCTTGAAGCCGAACTCGAAGGCCACGTCGCCGACCGCGTCCCGGAGTCGGGGCACGGGCCCGGCGCCCGCGTCGCTGTCGTCGAGGCCCAGCGACCGCAGCACCTTCGCCGCGGCGAGGCGCCGCGCGGCGAGCTTCGAGGACGCCGTCGCCACGCCCTCGTAGCCCGCGACGGCGCAGGTCCAGGACGAGCCCTTGCCGCCCGCCGCCTGCGAGAATTCGAACGTGAGATTCGCGATGGCCCGCTTGTCCGCGAGCTCGTTGAGGCTTCGCAGGTCGTCCGTCGACGGCGCGGGCTTCGACGGCGTGTTTGGCGCCGTCGCGCTCCGGAGCGACGCCAGCGTGGCGAAGAACGAAGCGGCGAAGTCGGCCCGCCACTCGGACCGGTCGGCGCCGTAGGCGAAGAAGTGCGCCTCGTCGCCCGCGTCGCCGCCGAAGGCCAGCTTCGTCTTTTCGTAGGCCCGCAGGCAGCGCTCGAAGGACCCGAACCTCAAGCGCGGCACGTAGTCGTTGCCCTGGAGGAGCAGTAATACCAGAACGTCGTCGCGCGTTTTGCGGACGGCCGCCGACGGGAAGCGCCTCGCGAGCTCGCGCGCGAGCTGCCACGACGACACGACGCCATACGTCGGCCGCTCCAGGGGCCGCAACACAAAAGGCTCCAACAGGCGCTCGTCGGACCCGAACTGGAGCGCGGCCAAAGATTGGAGGACCACGTCCGCGTCGCCCGACACCACCGCCGCGGTCCCTCTCACCCCCGCGCGCCGGAGCCACTCGACGAGCTTGAGCTCGCCCTCGCCGCCGTGGCGCACGCACGAAACATACGCCGTCACGTTCGCCAGCGAGTCGCGCCGCGCCAACCTGCTCGCCGCGTAGTGTTCCACCGCCTCCGAAACGAAATCCATGAACGCGGTGCCCGGCGTGATGAGCAGCGGCGACACGCCGTCGGGGACGCCGGACTTGGCCACGGCGGCCTCGCGCCGCCGGCGCTGCGTGACGATCTTGGCGATGGGCGCCGCGCCGTCGAGCGCGAGCACGAGGGACGTCGTCGGGCGCGCGACGCGAAGCACGCCGTCGAGCGCGACGAAGAGGCGCTTCACCGCGTCCTCCTCGTCTTTGGCGCGGCGCGTCGACGTGTGCACGAACTGGTTCACGTCGATGAGCACGTGGTCGAAGGTGCCCTTGGCCGGCGGGCACTGCACGACCTGGCAGGCGTCGCGGCCCAGCCAGGACTCGGCGAAGAACTGGCCGAAGCCCGCGATGCCGGAGACGGCCGTCGGCGGATGGAGCGTGCGCGACGGCGGCGCGAAGCCGACGGCGAGGCCCGCGGCCAGCGCCAGCAGCAGCGCGGCGCGCTGCGCCAGAGAAGACGAAGCCATCGACGCGACGGACTGCAACTTAGAGCCCGCTCTTCAACAACGAGCATTTTGCGAGGTGCGGGATCCGCTGCGCGATGGGCGCGATGGGCAGCCTCGCGCTGGTCCTCCTCGCCGCGACGGCCGCCGGCGAGGTGACGCGGAATCCGACGGCGGCCATCGCCGAGGCCAAGGCCGTCCACGACGCGCGGCTCCGCAAGCACCGGGGCCTGCCCTGGCTCGAGACGAACGCCACGTCCGCCGCCGCCTTCCTCGCGTCGCGCAACGCGACCATGGAGGCGAGCCGGAGCCTGCTCCCGGCGGCCCTCGAGGAGGCGAAGCGCCTCGAGCACCGCCTGTCGCTGCCGGCGATCTCGCGGCGCTGGCCCGCTTCCTTACACGTGCGGGGGACGTTCTACATCACCGCGGCGTTCAAACTCCAGCACGACGCGGAGCAGGTGCGCCACCTCGTCGACGCGCGGAAGCTCCCGCCGGGCTTCGAGCTGCTCGCCGAGGCCTACGACCGGGAGCAGGCGCGGCTGCCGGCGACGAACGGCAGCTTCGCGCGGATGCAAATCCTGTCGGCGCCCGCGTACGACGGCCTCTACCGCATGTCCAACGCGCTCCTCCACCTCCCGGCGCCGCGGCCCTGGACCGGGCCCGTGCTCGGCGACGGGTTCCTGGAGCACGCGCAGGCCATCGAGGACGCCTACGTCGCCGAGGCCAAGACGGGAAAGCCGCCCGCGACGTATTTCGACGACTTCCTCTCGCCGGAGGCCCTCGACGAGCTCTACCATTTTTGCATGGACGCGTCGATCTGGTTCGACGTCAAGCCGGGCTACCTCGGCGCCTACTTCGACGACGGCTTCACGGCGCCGGTCCTGCTGCGCGTCGTCGAGGAATTGCGGAGGGCGCTCCCGCGCGTCGTCGGCGACAAGGAGCTGAAGCAGGCCTGGGCCTACAAGTACGACTCGTCGCCGACGAACGCGGGCATCAAGGTCCACGCGGACCCGGCGGCGGTGAACGTCAACTTCTGGGTCACGCCCGACGACGCGAACGAGTCCGGCGACGCCGGCGGCGGTTTGGTCGTGCACCGCACGTACCGGGGCTCCGAGGGCGACTGGAACGGCATCGAGCACGTCGAGGTCATGGAGGACCACCTCCGGCGCGCCGTGGCCAACGGCGGGCCGGAGCCGCTCCGCGTGCCCTACAAGCGGAACCGCTGCGTCGTCTTCGACTCGTCGCTGCTCCACGAGACGGACGACTTCCGCTTCAAGCCGGGCTACCGGAACCGGCGCATCAATCTCACGTTCCTATTCGGCGAGCGGGGCCAGGGCGCCGTCTTCCGCGCCAAGGGGGAGCAGGAGAAGGGCACGCGCGTGTGCCTCGACGGCTTCTGCGGGAGCGTTCCGCTGAGCGCGCAGGGCGCGAAAGTCGCGCGGCGCGACTCCAGGGCCATCGCGAATTGCGTCGACGACAAGGTCGCGCTGGGCAAGGGGAAGCGCGACGGCGAGACCATGTTCCTCTGCCTCGGGCAGCAGCTCCACGTGAGGGGCGACGGCGGTGGGGCGGTCGCGGCGCTGCGCGCGGGCCTGGCCGCGGGCGCGAACCGCTGCGGCAAGGCGCCCGCCGCGTCCGAGCCCGAGTGGCGCGCCTGCGGCAGCCTGGCCACGATTTTGCAGGACCGCACGGCGGCGTCCGCGGCCTTTTACGCCGACGCGCTCCCCGACGTCTTCCGATGGTACCGCCACACGTACTACGTCGACGACGCGCAGCTCTGCGAGCTCACGACGCCGGAGCTCGACCGCTGGGCCGGCGCGGGCGCGCCGACGCTCCTCGTCCACGTGCCGCGGACGTCCGGGACGACGCTGCGCGCGCTCTACGCGGCGCTCCTCGGCGCGTCGGCCCTCGCGCCCTCCCGCCACTTCACCGCGGCCCAGCTCCGGCGCTGCGGGGGGCTGCGGAACACCACGACCGTCGCCGTCGTCCGCGACCCCTGGGCGCGGGCCTACAGCTCCTGGACGCATCTGCGCAAGGTCGCGCAGATCTCGGAGCACAACAGCGACCGCTTCTTCGGCACCTGGCTCCACGAGTTCGAGACCTTCTCCGCCTTCGCGGAGACGGGCGGCCTCGCCGTCGCCGCGAAGATGTGCCCCCACTTCTTCCCCGCGCTCGACTACGTCGCGGACCCGAAGACGGGCGACGTCCTCGTCGACGAGATCCACCTCTTCGAGCAGCTCCACGCGGGCGACAAGACGAACCTCGTGCCCCTGCTCGCCGCGACGGGGCTCTTGGGCGTCGCGAGGCGGAAGAACGTGTCCGCGTCCTTCGCGGACAAGGTCCGGCCCCGGGGCGGCCAGGGGCCCCGGCGCCACTGCAAGCACTACACGCGCCGCGCGGCGGACGTCGTCGCGGAGATCTACGCCGACGACATCAGCGCCTTCGACTACGAGTTCACCTGCCGCCAGGAGGACTTCTCCCTCTACGAGACGCACGCCAAGTCGTCGCTGACGCTCCACGGCCGCGACCGCGCCGCCGAGGCCGCGAGCCGCCGCGCCGCGGCGACGATCCTCGCCGCGAAGCGCCGCAGCGCCGCGGCCGAGAACGCGACGGCGCCCGCGCCGCGGGAACTCACCCCGCCGGCGATCCCGCGCGCGCCGCCGCGGCGCGACGGCGGGCTCCTCCGCGCGTTCGTCGGCGACCGGGGGAGCGTCCGCATCTAAAAACTGTGTTAGGTCGCTTCGTGCGTCCCCGCGACGTCGACGACGAGCTTGCCGACGGTGCGCCGGCCGCGGAGCGTGTCGAAGGCCTCGCGGCAGCCGGCGTCGGTGAAGGGCAGGACGGCCTGGACCTTGACCTTGAGCTCGCCCTTGTCCGCCAAGGCCGCGAGCGCCTCGAGCGCGGAAGCGGCGAACGGCATCTTGATCCAGAAGAGCTCCATCGACCCGAACAGGTTGACCCTCGCGACGCGCTTGAGGCCCGCCTTGAGCCAGTCCTTCGTCGCCCCGCCGAAGACGACGTAGGACCCGCCCGCGGCGACGGCGCCCTCGAGCTTGGCGTGGTAGCCCGCGCCGCTGTCCCGCGCGTCCGCGGAGCTCACGCAGTCAAAAATAATATCGAAGGGCGCCTCCTGTTTGATCGCGTCGAAGACGTCGCCCGCCGCGTAGTCGAGGACGACGTCCGCGCCGAGGCCCGCGACGAAGTCGACGTTGCGCGACGAGCAGACGCCGACGACGCGCGCGCCCCGCGCCTTCGCGACCTGGACCGCCGCGTGGCCCACGCCGCCGGACGCGCCGACGACGAGCACGCTGTGGCCCGCGGCGAGGCCGTGCTGCTGGAAGGCCTGGAGCGCCGTCGTGCCGACGAGGGGCAGCGCCGCGGCCTCGACGTGGCTCAGCGACTTCGGCTTCCGGCAGATCTGGTCGACCGGCGCCCGCACGCGCTCCGCGAGCGACCCCTTCATGGGGCCCCGGAGCACGGACGCCGGGTCCGCGGCGAAGCCGTAGACCTCGTCGCCCGCCTCGTAGCCGGAGCCCTTTGGCGCGTCGACGACGACGCCCGAGAAGTCGAAGCACGGCGTCGACCCGTCGACGCGCCGCGCGGCCCAGCCCATCCACGACTCGGGCACCTTGTCGCCGACGAGGTACTTGGCGTCGACGGGGTTCACGCCCGCGGCGACGACGTCGCAGAGGATCGCGCCGCGCCGGTAGAAGGTCTTCGCAGACGAGCCCGTCGGCGCGGCGAGCGTCGTGAGCTTGATGCCCGACGGCGCCAGCGCATCGTAGACGGCGCAGCGCATCGACGGATGCTGTGCGATTCTAGCGGTGCGTCGTGCTGCAGCGCGAGTTGGTCACTAGCGGTGCGTCGTTCTGCAGCGCGCTTGATCACGCCTCCATGCTCCGGTTCACTGGCACCGATTGTTGAACACGATGTTGAAGTCGACATTGAACTCACTTGCCGACACACTCCTCTCTCTCTACTAGAGTCTCTAGAGTGCTCATTAGACGAGCTGGCCCGCCGGCGCGCCGCCTTGGGCGGGCGGCGGGCGCTGGGCCCTCTAAAGCCGCACCGGACCTTCTCCAAAAACTTAGACCCGCGCGTAGTCGGCGCCGCCCATGTAGGCGCGGATCTGCTCCATGTGGGGCGCGAGGAACACGGTCGTGGGCCCGCGGCGGAAGGCGACGACGCCGCGGTACGCGCCGCGGGGCACGCCGGCCTTCTCGTTGTCCATGACGCCGAGCTTCTTCGCGAGCGCCGGGAAGCTCCGCGGCCCCCGCGCGGCGACGCCGTCGTAGACGACGCGCGCCGACGCCGGCCTGGCGCCGTCGATCTGCGCGACGTCGGCCTGCGGCGCGGCCGCGAGGTCCGCGAGGAGCTTCGCGTCCGCGGCGTCGGCCGCCGCGTAGCGCAGGTCGAAGGGCCGCGGTGGCCCCGGCGCGAGCAGGATGTTCGCGAGGAAGGAGCCGTACTGGTTGTTCGACGTGCCCGTGCGCGAGGCGACGTGGAACGTGCGGCAGACCGCGGGCCGCAGGATCTGCCGGTTCTTGCGCTGCGCGGGCTCCCGGAGCCAGTCGTCCCAGTAGGCCTCGGGCCACTTCGGCGCGAGCTCGGCCCAGACGTCGGCCGTGATCATCCAGCCGAGGCCCCCGAAGAAGTCGGACCGCACGACGGCCGACGCGTCCAGCGCGACGTCGACGCGGCCCCTGACGCCGTTGTCGTTCCACGCGGACGCGGCCAGCAGCGTCGCGTCGCCGTCGAGCGCGGGCGCGACGGCCGCGAAGAAGTCGAAGAAGTCGGGCGCGACCTCGAGATCCTCCTCGAGCACGATGACCCGCCGCGTCGCGTCGTCGAACGCGTCGGCGAAGGCCGCGCCGAAGTGGCGCGCGAGCTTGTGGTAGCCGTCGCCGCCGCCCGTTTGGTCGTGGACGACGACGCGCATCGGCGCGAGCGCGGGGCCGCACTTCTTCGCGAGGTAGCTCTGCGCGGCTAAAATCTCCTCCTTGGCCTCGCGCCAGCGCGGCGTCTCGCGGCCGCCGTCCTGGGACACGACGACGCGCGGCCCGAGCCCGCAGGGGTGGTGTCGGAGCACGCTGCCGAGCGACCGCCGCAGGCTCTCGGCGCGCTCGAACGCGATGACGAGCAGCACCGTGTCGGCGCCGAGCTTCGGCGTAGCGGTGGCGGCGGCGGCGGCGGCGACGACGGGTCGCGGCGTCGGTCGCGGCGTCGGCCGCGCCGTCCGCGGTGGCGGCGGGTTTGGTTGTGGCGTCCTGGTCTCCGCG